TGTGTGTGTGTGTGGTGTGGTGTGGTGTGCTGGAGCCTTGACTACACTAGGCTAATATTCTACCACTGGGTTACATCCTCAGCCATCCAAGAGGGATTTTGAAGATACTAGGACTTTACAAAAATTTTATTTTTTATTTGTATATAACTGTTTTGCCAGAAGACAGTGTTGGATCCCCTGGAACTGGAGTTACAGACAATTGTTGGCCACCATATGGATGCTGGGAACCAAACTCAGTCCCCTACAAGAGTAGTCAGTGCTCTTAGCCACTGAGCCATCTCTCCAGGCCAATAGCAGGACTTCTGCACACTGCTGTCCCCATTTGAGGTTCTTTCCTGCCCCTGTGTCTTCTGTTTCAGGTGCCCTTTGATACATAACAAACTCTCTCAAACTTGGTGGCTTGAGCCACAACCATGCACTGCTCCACAAACTGTGATTCAGCACACCGCCTGGCCCCTAGTGCAACTCCCACATCCTATATGTGGCAGGCAGAGGCAGGAAGATCTCAGGTTCTATACAACAGCCTAGGTTAGACAGAAGCTGTTTCGAAAACCCAAAACGAAAATGAAGAAGCCCCTCCCTATGTATTCCCTGCTATTCTTGCTAAGCCAAATCTTCCTCCCTCTGCACACACACAGGCACACAGGCATGCACACAGACACCCAAACATGAAGACAGGCACACAAGCACACACAGGCACACACAGGCACTTACACAGGTACACACACGCATAGATGGCTTCACTGTTTTATTTCTACCAGCGTATGTTTATCCATATTGGAGTCCCTTGCCCAAATCAGTTGGTTTATTAATATTTATTTATTTACTTATTCATGGGTGGAGACAGGGTCTCACTCTGTAGCCCAGACTGGCATGAAACAGTCTGTATTCGAGGCTGGCTTCAGCCTCATGGCACGCCTCCTCCCTCAACCTCCTGAGTGCTGAGATTACAAATTTATGCTACCACACCCAGGATCTAGCAGGGTTACTTGTATCTATAATTTAGAAAAAACACTTTTAAAAATTCCTCTAAAAATGCCCCATCACCAGGCAGAGAAGCCAGCAGGTGGCACCTGGACCTTCTGAGTCATGGATGGTGCAGAAGCTGGGGGTAGAGCTGCTCCCCATCTAAGAGCAGACTCAGCCTCCATGAGCACCCAGGATGACAGGCTGATAAGCAGAGCCTGGCTCTTATCAGTAGCCCCAGAAGGTGCAGAAGGTATCAGGAGATCCAGGTGCCACCCTCTGGTGCCCGCTGTGACACCCAGCAAAGGACGTTCTGGGCAACTGTATCTAGAACCCTGATCTGGTGCTGGGGGTCCTGGCTTAGTGTTTACGTCTCTAGGGGAAAACACCAATGTGACTCGGCAGGCAGAAAGAGCCGTGGAGAGGAAATGCCCCACTGGCTGTGCGTGAAGTGGAAGAGATGGGGCAGTGGCCAGAGCCTCATCCTGGTGCCCTGCATGGCTAGATTCAGAGTTTACATCTGGCTTGGCACTCACCAGCACTCTAGCATCTGGACACAGCTGGATATTCTCCACCATGGCTGTCTATCTGGCGAGTGTGGTTGGAATGCTGGGGTCTCAAGGAGATGCCTGGTGGACAGCCCAAGTTCTGGGGGCAGGAGGACAGTAGTAGCGTGGCTGCGGAGGGAAACGCAGGCTCTTCTCTGTGGACAGTACGAAGGGCAGGCTTCAGTCCCACCTCTCTTGCTTACTCAGTCTTTTCTGCTGGTGGTTCTACCCCACACCAGACTAGGCAGATGACCTAATTAATCCCCTTTCATTTTAGCAACAATCTAGGGAGATGGGACCACGGTAATCACCCAGTTTATAGGAGATGACTGGGTCAATCACCCAAGGACATGATTCCCAAATTCTAGAATGGTAGAGCCAGAGATGGTCTAAGCATCTTTTCCACTGCATCTTGCCTGCGGCGGGCCCTCTGGGGATCTGTATGCCTGATGGAAGGCTAGCAGGGGTCAGGGAACTGGCCAAAATGTCCTACCTGGAGGCCAGGTGGCCAGAGAGCCAGAACAGAGATTTAGAGGCAGAGAGAACAGAGCTAAGGCCTGGATCAACCCAACCCAGCTCTCCTCGGCAGAGAGGTCAGAGAGCTGTCCATCGGGCTGCCTGGGAGGGTCCCAATGGGGAACGGTGGCAGCAGGAGTCACAGTGCCACAGGGCAGCACCCAGCCCAGCTCTGCCCAGGCCTGCAAAAGCCTGTTTTGGGCCTCCACCCTGTAGGGACAAGGGAGGCCTGCCCTGAGGATTATTCACTAGGCCCCTCACGCAGACTACCTGCCATTATGTGTCCATTAGCTCAAGCACATCAAAGGGGACACAGATCAGCTCCTGTTTAAAGGTCTAGCTGCAGGCAAAGCTAGATCTGGGGGTCACGGTTCCTTTCCATCCTGGCTCCAGTGCTCCCGCAGTACACACTGCACCTTCCCCACAGAAGCCCGGTGTTGACTGTCCTCAATCTGATCTCCCCCAGAGCTGCTCTTGTGAGCCTGACAGGGCCCGCATCTACTCCTGAACCCACCTTCAGGGCAGAGAGGGACTGACTGCCCAGTCGGGGGCGGGGGGAGGCTGGGGGTGAGAGGCCAATGGGACTAGGTCCCCCTTGACCCCACCAAACCACTGGGCCCAAGAAGTCTGAAGCTGCTGTCAACAGGGCCACCCAGGGTCAGCTTAGCCTGGGCAGAGGGGAAACTGAGGCCCAAGCAAGAAAGGAAATAGAACACCTCCACACAGAAGGGCCAGGGCCAGGGCAGGCCCAGGGAGGTGACCGTCACCATATGGCTCCCTTCTTCTCTGGGCCCTTGGCCTCCTGTAGTGTGCAACACCAAGGGGGCAGCAGAGCAAAGGAAGTGATTCCCACTCATCTGTCCCTCCCCCTCCAGAGGGCTCCCAATTCAAGCCCCTGTGGACAGGTCTCTCGGCCCTCTGATCCCGTGTCCCCACCCCAAGTCAGAACATTCCCAGGTTCAGTGAGCAGAAGCCCAACTGAAATCTAGACTGGCTCCACTGCTCCTGTGCATCCATCCTCCAGTCAAGTACCTCCTCTGAGGTACTAGTGGGAGGTAGCCCAGCAGGCACGTGCCCAGGCCACCCACTAAGGCTTGAGGCCCAAACAGGGCAAATTGGATCTGCCATGGCTCACCTACCTGAGCCCTGTGCAGCCTCGCAGGTGCCGGTTCCAGGGAAGGAGGTTCCATGGAGCAGGGCTGGGTCCCAGGGCAGAAGCTGCACGTTGTTGGCCACCAAGCAGCAGTGGGGGCTCATTTCTGCTGGGGACCTTGGGCAGGTACCTTGTGGGACACTCACCCGAGTTGTCCTTACAGGCTAATGGCGAGGCTAGTGACCTGCTTGGGGGCTGCTGGGGACAAGTCCCCATCTTCCCACTGGCTTGCACATGGCCCAATTCAGAAAGAAAAGCCCCCTGTGTAGAGAAGACTCAGCGCAGAGCCCTGTGTTCAGACACCCACCCTCCCTGTCCTGGGCCCTCCACTGCATCCAGCCACCCAGAACCCCAGCTGTCCCAGTCAACTCAGGCTCCACCTGATTCCTCCCCGAATGACACTGGCTCAACATTGTGGTTGCACAGCCTTTGCCTCCGTGGCTATGGCCCTCACTGCTCAGGTTACCCGGCCAAGTCTGGGTCTGAGGTGCACACGCACACTTATGTACATGTGTTGCTCTGCAGGAATGTGTGCAAGTGTGCCTGAGTCTTACAGACCTGTTTATGAGATTGTCCAAATGTGTATGTACACACGTGCATGGTTTGTGTGTATCCCTGTGTGACTGTCCACAGCAGCATGCACTGTGCACCTGTGTGCGTGTGCCCGTGTCTGCCAGGATGCACCAGCAAGCACGTGGAGAATGGCAGCTCGTTAGTGTGAGTGTGCCTGTGGCCCTCAAGCTGGGTGGGGCCTTCACCGCCTCTGGGCCACACTGGCCATGCATCAGATCTATGCTGGCTTCTAGGACACTATGGAGGGAGCCCCTTTCCTTGGGGTGGAGCAGAAGGCCCTGCCCTCAATAGGGTCTTTGCAACCTCCTCTGTTCACAGGTTCGGGCCCGGCCAGACACTCCATGGGTCTGGGCCCATCTGCATGGCCACTACCCTTCACTATGCTGCACCAGGGACAAAGGTGACTCTGCAGCTTGCTACCTGCACCCGAGGACCCCCTTGGGAAAGTGACCTGCCAGAGAATGACAGGTGTCACCCAGCAACTTTACTGATGGCCACTGTGGCTGTGCTCACTGCCCCGGGCTCACCCTGCTCCTGGCTGAGCACAGGCCTTTAGAACTATCCTGGGTTTGCCCTGTCCAGAGCTCTCGGTACAAGACCCAGGAGGGCATTTTCTAGGCCAAGGGGCCTTCCTAAGGGCCTGTCCCAGCGGCTGCCACCAGCTGATAGAACCAGGAAATGTGCTGGCCGCAAGTGGTCTTGCTGATAATGCTGGCAGTGCCCGCCACCCCTCCCAGGCCCTGTGCTCTTATCAGCAGCAGCAAATGTCTGCTGTGAGCTGGGAGCCCCATGCTGACCTCCTGACCTTCAGTGTTTGCAAACTGACACTGACACTCAAGAGGTGGGAAGGCCCTGGGAGGAAAGCAAACTCAACTCTGACAACGTTCGCAGTGACTTGGCCCTGGCAATCACAGACGCAGGAGGAAGGCACATCTCTAAGTCAGGAAGACACTAGTGTCAAGGGACAGTGCAGGAAAGTAGCTCTGGACCTACTTTCCATCAGCATGTCAAGGCTTAGTAGGAAGTTCGAGGAGACACTGTCCAGACCTAGGTACCTTGTGACGGCTGGAGCCCTCAGGTTCATAGACCACTGAACAGGGTGTGCTAGGTGGGGCCCGCCTGTCACTGAAGCCAGTGGCCAGCAGAGGCTGAGGCAGAGTAGGAACTTTGACAGCTGTCAGAGACCCCAGACCCAGGGGCTACCATGGTCACTTAGCTTCAGGAAAAGAAAACCTCAGACCAACTTCTCTTTAAAGAAAACAAGTTTTATTTTTATAATCAGAACATTCTAATAAAAATATTATTATAACATTACTCCCCCTGTCCTCTGGGCCTTGTAGCAGGCATGCTGCGGAGTGCCTGCACGGCGGCTCCCTGAGGTAGGTGTGGAGGGACCCTGCTGCCCAGCCTGCAGGCAGCCCATGCTGCCAGAGGTGTCCATCGAAACCTTCCTGGACACAGGCTGGAACTTCTCCCCTTTGTGGAGCAAAAGGCAGCCAGCTCATGCCTCAGACTGGCACAAAGGAGGCCGGTGGACACAGAGCCTGTCTGGAGGGCCTGGCCAGGCCTATGCGGTGAGTAGGGTGCGGGGCTGAGAAGGCCTCAGAATGGCACAGTGACAGACAACTGAGTGCTCGCCCTGATGGGCACCTCTGCAGGTGAGACCGGGCAGCATCAGACAGACAGGGGCCTGGAGCCCTGCAGGGCTGCGGCGGTGTGGTGACAGCCACCCCAGTGAGGGGATCTAGGCAGCCAGCTAGTGACACCATTCACAGAGAAATACTGTCATTGTCTCTGTTGGTGGGACCACTGACCAAAGCCAGTCTTTAAGTCAAAACTAGGTTTAGGGCTCTTGGTGACAACAGTCTCTTGAAAAAAAAAAAAAACACCACTATCCAGAAATCACCTTCATAGCAGAACTCCAACAGAACACACGTCGCATTGCTCTGACTGAGAGGGTGCCTGGGTGGGGCTCAGGGAGCCCAGTGCCACCCAGACAACAGGTCCCAAGGAGGAGGAAGGACGTCCACACACACCCCGGAATAAGGCACCTGGCATGGGGTGGCCGTGGAGGCTCAGGAAGAGCCCCGCCACTTCCTTTTCAAGTACCCCTCAAGGCACTGAGGGACCTGGGCAGGAGAAGCCATCTGAAACGCTCAGAGCAGGTTGGCCCAGGGGCCTGGGGAGACCCAAGTGCTGGTGGCTCCTGAGGCTGGCAGTCGGTGGATGTGGCCCCAGGCAGGAAGCACCTCACTGCATCCTGTCCGGCTGCAGCTGTGGTGCCTGGTACTGTACAAAGGTGGTGCCCGCAGGGGCCGCAGCAGACAGGGCCGGGGGCATGGCGGCAGGGTAGCTGTAGCCCACGAAGCTGGTGGCTGTGGCAGGCGAGGCAGCATAAGGGTACTGGTCATAGGTGGTTGGTGGGTACTGGGCGTAGGCTGGGCTGGCTGGTGTGTACTCAAGGTAGGGTGATGACAGCGATGGCACTGGGGTGGCAGGGATCACCACACTGGGCTGCACGATGGTTGGTGGATAGATGTAGTGGGGAGTCAGCCTGTGGGCCAAGCAGAGTGTCAGAGTGGAGGACACAGCTGGCTGGGGACAACCAGGGAGTAGAGACAGCAGGGAGATGCCCTGTACCCTGCCCTAGTCTGCTTCCCCATCTGTAAAATGGGTGCAGCAAATCAGGTGTACTCCTACTCCAGGGCCTTTGCATGGGCACTGACTGCAACCCCCACAGGTCCCTCCTCCTCAGCTAGACCTTTCCAGGCTGTACCCCCACTCCAAATCAAACCCCAGCTAGCTCCCGTAGGCCCCACTATGTCTGTAGCATGTTAGTCCCAGCACTCAGGAGGCAGAGGCAGTCATATCTATGTGAGTTCAAGGCCAGCCTGGTCTACACAGCAAGGTCCAGGCGAGCTGGGGCTACAGGGAGACCTTGTCTCCAAAAGACTGAAACAAAACAAAAACCCAACTGAGAATTTCCAGACAGTGAGGACAGAGCAGCAGGCCAATCTGGGGGACTGTGGAAAAGCTCAGGGGGATGGGAAGCCTCACCTGCCAGGTACCTGCTCCTCTTAGCAAGATCTGTGCAGGGTCCTTAGCCTCCCACCCTCTCCCCAACTGCAGGGGGCTCCTCACTTGATGGGAGCAGTGCAAAGGGACCGGTGGTAAGGCTGGGGAGGTCAGTGCCACCAATGCTCCACAGAGGACACCCCTGTCCTCTCACCATCAGGGAAGCTGAGTGATTTCTGTCAGGAGACCTGTGAGGACCAGCAACTTATGACCAGATGGGCACACGGAGCTGAGTGCTCGTCCCACACTGAGGTGGGAATGCACCTGGACGCCACTTCCTGCACCTGGCTATGCCCTTGCCAAGGAGCACACAGCACACCCAGCACTCCAGCTCAGGGCAGAACTAGTGCAGAGGAGGAAACTGAGGCTAGGCAGCCCTCGGGGGGGGGCGGGTTGAGCCTCTCTGGGCCTCAGGTCTGTCTGCCGCAGCACCCATTGCACATCACGAGACACCACTAAGCATCAGCGAGTAGCTGCACTGGAGCAAGATGCTGTCGCCAAGCGCAGTGGCATGCAGCCCCCTCTCACACCTGCTCCTGAGCCTCAGCTCCCTCCCAGGTCATTCACTCCAAAGAGATGCTGCTCTGGTCTGCAACCCAAAAGCTCAACGGCTCCCCAGCAATGTCTCCTCCCCTGCACAACTCCCCAGCACCCCTATCTGCTGAGCAGGATGTGCACACAGTTCTCTGGAGAACATGTCTGCTGAGGTGCTCCCTCCTCGGGTGGGAGAGGAGCCTGCACTCACACACGTCAGACAGACATGCTCAGTGGGTCCCAGCAGCCCGTGCAGGGCCATGAACAAGCCAAGGTCACCACGGGGGGCCATGAGGATGGGTGTCCAACACCTCACCATGGTGAAGAAGCCCCTAGGTCAAGGTGCTACCCACAGTGACACCTTTGAAAGCAAACAGCAGCCAGGGGACTGTGACAGGTGAGGTGCACAGACATAAGACATCTGCACACACAGGTCCAAAAGATAAGGACTTCCCAGGAGGTGCAACAGAGACTCCACAGTAGAAAGAGGGAAGCAGCTAGGTGCTCATGGTGCTTTAGACCTGTGAGGTCTAAAGTCTTCACAGGACCAAGGGGCACATGTGCATGATTGAAAACAAGAACTCCAGTCACCTGGGAGGGCGTGGCAGCCCAGCGTTCACCAGACAACTCGGCCTCTATGTGTGGTGACACATCAGCCAGTCATGGACCGGAGGGGGGCAGAGGCGGCCACAGCCAAGGAGCAAGGGTGTATATATGCCACTGTTGCCAATGTATTGTGTGGTGTGCGTGGCATGTATGCGTGCTTGCATGCACGTGTAGGCTAGTGAAGGGTGTCAGGCACCCTCCTTGATGGCACTCCAACCTATACTGAGATAGGCTCTCCCACTTGAACCCCAGGCCCACCTATTTTATCAGGCTAGTTAGCCAGCTTTCTCTGGGGACCCTGTCTCTGCCTCCTGTGTGCTGGGATTACAGGCGGGCTGTCACGCCTGCCAGCATTTTCATGGGTCCTGAAGATCCAAACTGGTCCTCACGCTTGTGCAGCGAGCACATTACCTACTGAGCCATCTCCTCAGGCCCAAACACAGGCCCCTGGCGGCACACTTATCACAAGGACACAGGTAATGGCTGGCTGGAGCCAGGAGTGAGCTACCGGGCACAGGCAACAGGGCCGAGGCCACCAGGCTCAGGTGTGGCCCTGCATGCCCCGGTTGGGAAGTCCCGCACCCCATCACCCTCACAGCTGTGCTTTCTCTTTTCAGGCAGGGGCAGCTGGCCAGGTGCTTCCACTGCACTGGCAATGGTCGGCATCCTGTGCACCACGTGGGCAACTAACTGCAAACGTGAGACAAGATGGCCTGCGTGGGACGGCATCCACCCCCATCTCTCTCTTCCTCAGACACTCTGCTGGCTGCCCCACCTCAAACCTCAACAGTGCCTGTGTGGGTGGAATGCTACCTCTGAGCTGAAGGACACTTTTCCAGACTCCCACTAGCACACAGCCATCAGCAGAACACAGTTCCCCGGGACAAGGGAGGGTCAGCAACCAGCGACCTGAAAACCAGAGCTCAGGAGCTAAACAGCAGAGGCTGGGTGCCTGGGTTGACAGGAGGCAGGTGACACTGCTGGGACCCTAGGGCCTGAGGAGGCAGCTGGCCCTGGGCACAGCAGGAAGCTGAGGCAGGCCTGCTCCTGGCACACTGCCATGCACAGCTGACCTACCAGAAGCCTCACTGAGACCAAAGCCTGCATAGCGGCAGACCCCACAGCAGCCCCATGGGCTCTGTGGCTCTAACACTCAGGCCCTCCCTGCCTGCTCTAAAGCCTGCCCTTGCTTCAGCCTGGGTGGGACCACCTCCTCACACTGCCCTATACCCTGACCTGACCCTCCTGGATGGAGGGCTCTGCTGGATACCTGCTCCTGTCGACTAGCCTGTTAGAGAGTCCCATTTGGGACTGAGGCCTTCCCAGAGCAGTAAAGCCTGTCTAGAGCACCTTCACATGGGTGGGGCAGCCCACCTGGGCCCTGGAGATGCTAAGCTCTGCACATCCCTAAACCTGGATGGGGTAAGTCCACTCCAGTCCTCCAAGAATGTTTGCTGACACTGAGGCTACGGCAAAGCCAGATTCCACCCTGCGCTCTGTCCCACTCCCCACATAGAACAGCTGCCTAGAGCTGAGACCAGCTTCCTGCCCACCCACCAAGAGGGCCTGGCCAAGACACCACAGATCTGCCCAACCCTGTACCCTGTGTAGAAAAGCGCGGGGTCTCCTCCTGCTCACCTGTGCTTCCCATGAGTGCTCTGCCAGGCACTGCTTTAAAACAAGCATGAGGCACCTTACCAAGCCTTTTCAAAGGCACAGGAAGGTAAAGAGCTTAGAGGCCCCAGTGACCGGAGTCCACCTGTGTGAGTACCTGTGCTTTGGGCCAAGGATTCTAGCAGCCCAGGCAGAGGAACAGACAGGTGGCTGCAATCCTACGACAGCACAAGGCCCAAGCCAGGGCTGAGCAGGCTAGTCTCTCCTGGTCTGTGCCGGGCTCTGCACTCAAGTCACAGACCACATCCCAGCCTCAGCCTCAGCTCCTGCACCTCACAGGCTCCCTGGAGCATTCTCAGTATACTAGTACCATGGCTCCCAACTGTGGCCAATAGGCCTGTGGCCACCCTGGGCAGGATCTGGGACTTCTCTGCAGGGTGGTCTTGATACCTCATGGGTAGAGGCCTTGGACCCTGTCAATGTCCCACAACACCTAAGACTCTGAGAGTCCTTGGAGAACAGAATCACCCAGCTTCAAGCACACTTGCACTGGGGTGGACAGCCCGCCTTGCTGCAGTCTGTCTACGCTACAGCACAAGGGGCAGCACAAGGGTCCAACAGGGCAACCACGACCACAGGCAGCCAGACCAAAGGCTGGGCAGGCAGCAGGGACAGAGCTGCACACACAAAAAAACACAGAGCCCACCTGGCTTTTAGGCCAGATGGAAACTCAGCTACAGCCTAGCCCACCCTGCGCCCTGTCCAAGGGCAGCCCTGACTGGGAGTCTGCACACTGCTGCAAACAAGTCTGCATGAAACAGAAATGCCCCCAAGTGTGTCAGGGCTTAGCCAGTGCTGCCTACCCCTCAACTCAGATTCAGGTAAGGAAGGTGCCAGCTACCACCCATTCAACCATCATGCCCAGCCCAGCAAGGGCACCAGTCTCCCAGCCTGCCAAGCCTTGGCAACAGTGCCTGGCATGGGCTCCTCTACCTGCATGTCTGCCAGTCATGGCAGGACTTGATGCATTCCCTGCCTCAAGGAAGAGCCTACCAATCACCTGGGCAGGCTCCCCTCCCCTCCCAAGCACCCTGATGCTGTTCTCGATGTCCTACCTCCCACCTCCCTGGGTCAGGCAGCTTCCCATTTGCCCAACCCACTAACTCCTCACCTGTCACCTGGAAGTATATTCTTAAGTATATTTAGGACCACATCAGGCCAGGGACCAGAACCCTCAGCACCTAACTACTGGGCACAGAATCAAACCCAAACTGCTCCTGTGCCTTCCTAAATGGAAGCCCCCAACCTACCTCTCCACTCTCAACCGCACCCAATTCCTCCTGTCCCCTGATGGTGGCCACTCCAGGTACTGGCACCTGGGGCACGCTCAGCCTGAAGGGCCCCCATCAGCCTTGCTCTTTCCTTCCCCATCTTTTACTTTTTATGTGCCTGTGGGACCCAAAAAGGCCAAGCTTTCCTTGCCTGCCTGGTCCCAGGGGCACAGAACAGCATCTGTGGCAGACCAGAAGGCCCGGCCAGGACACTGCAGAAAAGTTGCAGCTTCCCAGAGGCCAGTGGGTGGGACTGGGGGTGGGGGGAAGCTCTGCTTGTCAAGTCCACTGTACTTACTCCATCTCAAAATATCCATCATTGCCTTTGGGACGGTATGCCCCAGGGGCTGCTGGGAGGATTTCCACCCCTGTGAACCCTAAAGACCCCCAGCAG